GGTCTTCAGTCAGAAGGTTCCTGGGGAAGCATTCAGGTGAGAATATATCTTCAAGATAAAGTTTAGAAAACTTCCTCCCCCAGAACAGTAACCACTCAAGGTCTGAGTCAATTGCTCTGGCAATGGTAGAGTCCTCAACTTAAGCCATTGTCCTCACTCGGAATGTAAATCTACAGTTCCTCACTGACATCATGTGAGCCTCTCTATACCACTACTGGATACATGATTTCCAGCACACTTTATGAGTGACCGTTGCTCAAAAAAAAAAAAAAAAAAAAAAAAAAAAAAAGAAAAAGAAAAGAAAAAAGAAAAAAAAGAAAAGAAAAAAGAAAAAAAAGAAAAGAAAAAAGAAAAAAAAGCCTTTTGTCGTCAATGTTTCATTAAGTTGATATAAAAAAGATGCAGGCTAAATCCTGAGTCAAGATAGAACTCAACATCTCCTGATCCATCTTGGTCTAATGGTCCCTATATCAAACCACATGACCCACGAGAGGACAACTACTCACCAGTTCTGAGCACTGACCACAGTCTCTCTATCCCAGCTGAGCCAGGCACTTCCTCCAGGCTCCAGGTCTCTCAGTATCTTCATGGCTCTCCTGAAGCCTTTATATTCCTTCCTGCTCACCCTCCCTATTGCAGTCCCACCTTCCAACACCAAGCTGCAATTTAATTGGATGACTCAGTCTCCACCCCTTTAATTCTACAGACAACATTCAATCTTTTCGTTGATTGAATCCTCCTGCCTCAACATCCTTCTTGCTTGGATTACTCTTATGAAACATCATGGTTCACTGAACTTGATTAATGTGACAAAGGCCGGATGAGTTTGGGTCAGTTTGTGATTTAATCTGTTACTGATAATAGACACAAAAATAATTCAAAAATATTTCGTCAATGGATCCTGGGCAAAACATCAAGTCAGTCGGGAATATGCTTTGGAGCTCAAGGCCTAAACTGGATACTCTGTCAATACACTCAAGTAGCAGCTACTCGAAAGGGTGAAGCAGGAGAATTGCTTGTGTCCATCTAGACATATTGGGACATGCTTCTGTTTCCAGAATGTGAGGGTTTGGGTGAAAGTCTCAGAAATTCACTGTCTTCTTTGCTGTTTTGAGACCACTGTGGGCTACACTAAACCATTTTTCAAAACAATTATAAAAACATGTCAGGGAGGGAGATAAAATACTTGATTCTCAGGAATCTGGAGACAGATACAGAGCCAGAGAAAGAAAGAGAGAGAAAATAATGAGTCTGGATATAGAGTGAGAGACCTTGGAACACTAATTCCTAAATGGGATGTCACCATCAATTCTCTCCTCTTAGGGCTCAGGGAACCCTATGGAAGAGTAAGCAGAAAGAGTGTAAAGCCAGAGGGGGACAGAGAATACCAGGAACAGTTATTTTTTTTAACAAGAATTTATTTATTATGTATACAGTATTCTACCTTCATGTATTCCCTCAGGCCAGAAGAGAGCACTGGATCTCATCATGTAATTGCTGGGACTGAATTCAGGGCTTCTGAAAGAGCAACCAGTGCTCTTAAACTCTGAGCCATCTCTCCAACCCAGGAACCCATCTTAAACACAGCAGAACTGCTGCACTTATGAACTCAGAGAGACTGTGGCAGCATGAACAGGGCCTGCATGCGTCTGCACCACATGGGGTGCTGGTGATGAGAGAAGTGGACACAAGATCCCCTCCCTAACCCAGACTCTGTCTCCAGTTGATAAGGACTTGCCATTGACAAATAGTTCTCTCAAATGCAGTCTCCCTGGAGATACAAAGAACTCTTAAGGACAGATTCAATGACCAGTAGTAGACAGCCAACACAAAAGAAACTCCTGGAAT